AAGAAACAAGTGGGACTAAGTCAATGTAAAAATCTTTAGCATAGGAAAAAAATTGAAAAAATTAAAAGGCATCCCATGGAATGGGAGCAACTATTAGCGAACCATCTTTTGATGAATGGTAGTTACTCAAGTATATAAATAAATCATACAACTTAACAACCAAAAAAAAATCTAAGTTAAAAATACTGGCTCTGAATAGACAAATTTTCCAAAGAAGACATACAAATGTACAACATGAAAAGCTGTTCAATGTCATTAATCATCAGGGGAATGCAAATCAAAACCACGAGACCATCTCTCACCTGTTACAATGGATATAGTCAAAAAAGACAAGTGATTACAAGTATTGGCAAGGATGTGGAGAAAAGAAAATCCTCGTGGATTGTTGGTAAAAATGTAAATTACCACACCCACTATGAAAAGCAGTTTGGAGGTTCTGCCAAAAATTAAAAGTAGTATTCAGCTGTCCCAGCACCATCTGTCAAAGAGACTGTCCTTTGGCCGCTGAATGCGCTTTAGTCCCATCTCAAATATCCATTGACATTTTATACCTGTGTTTACTACTGGGTAGTCTGTTCTATTCCTTTGTTAGACTACGTGTGTATTTTAATACCAGCATCATGGTGTCTCATGACTATAGCACTATGATATAGTTTTAAAGCAGAAAGTGTGATGGCTCCCAGTTTATTCCTTCTCAGGCTTGCTTTGGTATTTGGGTCTTTTGTGGTCACATCAAAAAATTTTAAGATGGACTTCTATCTTTGAAAAATATTATTGGAATATTGATAGAAATTGCACTGAACCTATAAATGCCTTTGGGTAGTATGGACATTTTAGCATTAATTCTTCTGGTCCATTAACCATACATCTGGTCCAGTATATCTTTCTACTTGTTTTGACTTCTTCAATTTTTTCCATAAGAGTCTAATTATAGGTTTTAAAGTACAAATTTTTCACTTCCTCAGTTAAGTTTATTTTTAAGTATTTTATTGGTTTTAAGGCTATTTTGAAAGGGGAAAGTCTAGTGTCTTCAACAAATGATGTTGGTTACACTGGAAAACCACATGCAGAAAAATGAAATTGGACAGCTATCTTCTACCACTCAGAAATATAACTTAAAATGGATTAAAGACTGAGAGGTAAGATCTGACACTACAAAACTCCTAGAGGAAAACATAGAGGAGAAGCTACTTAACACGGGCTTGGGCAATAATTTTGGGATATGACCCCAAAAACACAAGTCAGAAAAGCAAATATCAACAGGTGGGACTACATCAAACTAAAAAGCTCCTGCACAGCAAAAGTAACAATCAGCAAAATATAAAGCCTAATACAGAGTAGGACAGAATCTCTGCAAATCATATATGGGATGAGGAGTTAATATCAAAGCATATGTGGACCTCATACAACACAATAGCAAAAAAAAAAAAAAAAAAAAAGCCAAACATCCAATATAAAAAATGGGCAGTAAAATTAAATCTATATTTTTCCAAAGACACCCAAATACACAAAAGGTACATGAAAAGGTGTGCAACATCACTAACAATTAGGTAAATGCAAATCGAAACTGGAATGAGATATCCCCTCCCTCCTGTCAGAATGATCATCAACAAGAAGACAAGAGACAAGTGCTGGCCAGGACGAGGACAAAAGGAAACCCCTGTGCACTGTCGGTGGGGATGTAACCTGGCTCAGCCATTATGGAAAAGCTACAGAGGTTACCCAAAACTTAAAGACAGAGCTACCATATGCTCCAGCAGTCCTCCTTCCTGGTGAGCATCTGAAGGGAGTGAAAACAGGGTATTGAAAAGATAGCTGCACTTGCATGTTTATTATAATGTTATTCACAACAGCCAAGATATGGAAATGACCTGAGTGTACAACAATGGATGAACAGATAAAGAAGAAGTAGCATTTATACAGAATGGAATATTATTCTGCATTGAGAAAAGGAAATTCTGCCATTTGTAATATTACAGATGGACATTGAGGGCTTTATGCTTGATGAACTAGACAGAGAAAGATAAATGTAAGATACCAGGTATACATGTAAAAAAACAAACAAACTCTTAGAAACAAAGTAGAATGGTGTTGGGGTGGAGGAACTGTGGAGACATTAAAGGGTACAAACTTGCAACCTGAAGATAAATAAGTCATGCAGATCAAATGCACAGCACAGTGATTACAGAAAACAGTGATGTATCAGTCTTCAAAGTTGCTAAGATACTATCTTGTGAATGTTCTTGTCATAAAAAATAAAGAAAATTATACTTGTGAGTCATGTGAGAGGTGTTAGTTAAAGCTGTTTGTGGTCACATTGCTGTATGTAAGTGGATCAAATCAACACACTGCAGACTGTGAAAGAAGAAAAAGTAGAACTGCATGATTTCACTTACACATGTAATCTAAAAAAGCCAAATTCACATAAACAGAGAACAGAGTGGTGGTTGTCAGGGCCTGGGAGTCAGGAAGTGAGAAGATGCTCAAAGAGCACAAATGTCCAGGTTTAAGATGAGTGAGTTCTGGGAAATCTCACGAACAGTACTGTGACTACAGCTAACAATGCTGTATTATTTATCTGAAAGTTGCTGAGAGCAGATCTCAAAAATTCTCACCACAAAAGGGAATTAGGTGAGTTTATGGAAGCAGCCTTACTATGAAAATCACTCACAACATATATGTGTATCAAGTCGCCACATTACTTACTGCTAGGGCTGTGTCCTGGGTCACTGTCTAAGAAGCATTTCACCGGAGATGTCTCTCAGGACTCAGACTTCAGGTAGTCTGTTTCACTTCATGGGTGAACATATTCAAATGGCCTGTGTATAAAATAAAAATATAATGACTAATAGTTCATTGTGAATGGCTCCCAGAATGTGTTTTAAAATTTTTGTTCCCATGCTTACATTTCACACTACTGTAACAAAATCAAATATGAGCCATCACAAATGGCACATTAGAACAATGATAACAGAGTCCTGAACACAAAGATTCAATGTTTCTTTCTGGTGTTTTCTAATCAGAAGTGTTTTTAAAAATATTTGAACTCACCAGTTCCTAGGTGACAGCTGAAAGTGACAAAATCAGAGAACCCAAAATGGCAGATGATCCTGTATGTGATTATAGATGTTGCTACATTTTATGCCAGAAATTAATTATCTATTAGAAAGTTTCATTAAAAACTTGAAGCTCAAACCCTGGAATGCTTCCCAATTTTGTTAAACTCATGTTATTATAATGTCCGTGTCCATTTAGCTGATGAGGTAGGTGAAGATAAAAAGTGATCTGTTCCTCTGTGTTTAGTACAATTAAAATAACTAACAACAATTATACAATGCTTTGAAGAATTCAGGTTAGATCTGGAATACAGATGGAGATATGAAAATGCTTTTCCTTGCTCTATGCATGAGTAGTAGCCCATCATGTACAAATATGTCAGATGACAAGGTATCTTCATGTTAAAAAAAATACCATCACCACAAAGGAAAGCTTTACTGATTGTACTGAAAATAAAAGGAAAAAAATAGAATTGGAAAAAGATCATGTTGACATAAAAATGCTTATGGTCACAGATACTATAGAGGAGCAACTGTGGCAGATGTATGAAGATGTAGAAGCTATCACTCCTCCACTGAATATCATTACACCAAATTGTGACTTAATCATTTCATAAACTTGACAGACATTTCTGCTTCTATAATTTAAAATATAACCTTTAAAATACTGTATAATGAGAAGTGTGATATTCTAATATCTGTTCTAAGAAGTGAGTTAGACACACATAAGAATAGCCAATGCTCAGAAAGATCACATGCAATCAGTTACCACCCCATGCAAATTAATGGCATTTAGCAGATATTCATATATGTGTGCATACATAAAATGTGTATTGGTATATATATAAATCAAGTAGAACATTATATTATAATCTAATGTAAAATTGTATCAGCAAAAGCACTGTGCTGATATGTGTCTTGGTGTAAACAGATTACAATTTTTTATTGAGTTATCATAATGGGATAACATTGTGAACCAAGTAGAAATTGTAAAAAAAGTTATCCAAAAAAAAAAAAAACCTGACTACATGAAAAGATGCACAGTTACTATAAGGCCTCTTTCCTTATTTACTATCAGTGTCAGAAAGTCACTTGGAATAGGTTAGGAGAATTAAAAACTCTGACAAGACACAAGAATGCACTCTCTGTTAAAGAAAATAAACCAAAGGAAAAACCGAATGGACAGTTAAGATCCTACAGATAAAAATATCAATTTTATGGGAAATAGGCTTAAAATAAAAAATAAGGAGATTATAGTCTGTCACCTTTTGAATAAAGATATACATTAAGCTGAATACCTTCGTATTTTGCGCTTATGGAGAGAAAATGTATTTGCAATGAAAAAGCAGCTATTGTCCTGCCTTTTCAGTATTCTGAAGGTTTAGGTTTGAATATATTTCATCTTAAATGGTCTTAAGCACTATGCAGTGGTTGGTGTTTTTAAAAATACTACTGTGTTTGGAACTTCTGAAAGTGATTCAAAAAAATTTTAATTATTTTTTTTAATAATTTGGTAGTGGCCTGGATATTATTTTAACAAGACTACTCACCCTGGAATGCTGCAAGTTTTTTTCAATGAGTTTATATTTACACATATTTAAGATTGTCACTATATTTTGAGAAAATGTCAACCGTGGCAGTATTTTGACTTGAAAACGAGATAAGCTGAGAAGTATATTTTACGTATAAAATAAATGATTACATTCCTTTAAAGACAGGAAAGTAAAAGCATAATAAACTCTGACTTCGACACACTTAAAATATACAAGTTAACATAATGTGTTTTTACACACTTCTCTTTAACTCTTTCATTACTTTCTCAGCCCCTTTCTCATTACACCCGCGTCCCCGCTCCTGACCCGCGCTGTACACACCTCCGATCACACGGGGGAGGGGGGACCCGGGCGGCGAGGACCAGGGGCGTGAACACCCCCGCGGCCCGGATGGACACGGACACTCACCCGCTCCCGGAGGGCGATGAGAATAGTCGAAGCGGGCCCGACAGCACACCCGTCACCTCCTGCCCGGCCGGGGTCCCAGCTCGGTCAGGTCCACACAAACCCCGGCAGGAAGCGGGCTCAGGCCGCGGGAAACCGGCATAACCTCAGACAGTGGGCGGGGAGCGTCCTTCTCCCGCAGACACGCGGGCCGCGCGGTCCCGGAACCGCCATGG